AGCTGTCTATTTCAAAAGGAGAATATCTAAGCTAGTGTAAACGATGTTACAACTTCGCCAAGTATTGAGCCAATCCCAGAGCCGGATCGGAGGAAGTACCTGCCGCCCTTCATCAGCCATTCGCCCGAGGTCGGATCCGAAATTCGGACCCGACTAGGATAGGTATATATTGAGACACTCCCTGTAGCTAGCTCTGTAGACTTTTGATATCCTTTCGTACAAGGCCTATAGGTGGCTTGTTGAATCTAGGCTCTTTGTGATCCCACGCACTCCCATATGCCTCTGAGTGATCCTACGACCGAAACAGATCCGACCTGCCTTACCTGCGCCGTTACAGCTAGCTTTAGAGGCGCTAGACTAGTCCCACACAACCTATAGGCTGTGCTATCTAAGCTTAATGTGGTAGTGTAGACGCTAGTACAATTACCACGATAGGCAGCCGCCTAGAAGGCGCAGACACTACGCAACGCGCATAAGGTTAAGGCTTAAAGTACTCTTATTTAATAAAGAGTAAGAAACTGCCTTAGGTCTTCTACAAATTCTTTTAATAAAAAGGTTGTGTAGCTAAGTAAAGGGGCTTAGTAAATAGCATATAAGATAACGCTTATAAGGGAGGAAGTAGCAGCTCTTTAAGAGGCTCTAGATATAGCAAATAAGCGTAAGAACTACAAGTAGTGATACGTATAGATAGAAGAGACTTTTACTATAGGCAAAGTACAAGAAGTATTAGCTAAATAGGCAGGTAGTAGTTATAGTGATAGTAAGAGTGCGTTAAAGAGGGTGCGAGGAGAGCGGCGGTGCGGGCGTTGTAAGCAGACTAGACACAACGCTCGTACCTGCGTAGTTAAGATAGATAGTATAAGTAATAGTAGTAATTCTAATAATCAATTTAGTATATTGCAATAGTTTATTAACTATAATAAAAGACTGTAATAACGTGTTGAAGTTGACGCGCCGGTACAAAGTGGCCGACTCGCTTGGGTGGCCGACTCGCTTATGAACCACGTTACAAGAGATTACAAATTATATTCAAAATGGTTTGGTTCTACGACCTATATTATAGTATGTGTTCTTTACACTATGCGCTTATGACGATCTTCCTGCCAAATATCATTCTCGAATAAGAAGACAAAAAGTAGGTTGAAATCTCACTTAATATGATGAAGCGAATTGACATAAGTATCTCTGACATATAGTCCCACCATGAATCTAACAAACTTTTACTATGTATCATTTCACAAATAGGAAAGCTTAGTAGATAAATGATGAGATTGACTCACCTCCGACGGATACTTTACGGTGTGGTGTAGCCCATGATGAGGCTACAAAGAAAATAAGATCAATGGGCACAGATAGTCTTATTCTATTATCAAGTTCTATGATTTTTGAGTTAACCGCGAAGGAGGAAGGGTATCACTTCTGATAGAAATCGACGAACTTATCAAGTTCTATATGTCATCTATTAAAGCCTAGAGACTGGAGCTACACCAATCTTCTTCTCACCTTGTAGCGCCTCCAAATACTGATCACTAACTGTCCGCTTCTGCTCGTCTGGAATATATGCCCACTCACTGCGCTCAATTATTTCCTTCTCCCTCCATGCCACCATTTCATCAACTAGCCACTTGGTACTAAGCTCTGCTGTTATTTCAACTGCCTCCATCGGTATCAGGTGGCCTACATTTTCGACTGTCACCTCTGCCACACGACCAATAGCAGCACCGCCGCTTCCGCCAATGCCTATGCCTGTGGTACCCACCTTGTCAGCAGTTGGCTCGCAGGCTGTGTAGTGCGACTCGCTGCCAAACACATACAGCACCGACGGCCGCACAAACGGTAACATGTGAAACGCGATGACGGACTCGGCGCGCTCGAACGGGTGGTCTGGTAGCGCTGCTTCAGGCGTGTAATGTACATGCGGCACACTGTTTAGCCCACCTAGCTGCGCGCTGAGACCTGGGTAGGCGTGCGCGTCGAAGGTTGGCCGGAGGAAACTGAAGACGTCTTGGTGTTTTGTCGTGGTAAGTGTGACGGCGTCAGCGAAATGATCTGAATGGGTCACGTGGGCTTCATCTCCTTGTACTTGAATCTGGCGTGGAGCTGCTGTCGGCAGGTTGCGTAGTCCGTATTGCAGCCATCGCTCCAGAACGCGCTCGTCCCATTTTTGGTAATACTTGCTTTTGCGAAAATGCTTAGCGGCGGCGGCACGGGATGGCCACACGTCGCGGCGGCGGGCCGAGGCAAGCGCAGGTGTGCGGTAACCAGCTGCGAAGGTGCGCCGGTGAATAATAGGGTCGATGAGGATAAGTGTCTCTAGGAGGCGCGGGTGAAGGAGCGCGAGACTAACGAGGGCGGTGCCACCCATGCTATGGCCGATGCCAACAATGGGGCGTATCATTTGGTCGCGAAATATGTTGACCATGTGTAGCAGATCTCTACCATGGTCGAAAACGCAAGCTGTGATCTTGTCTCAGTATTGTGTTCTATCCCGTTGGTTTGCCCTGGTGGCCGCGAAGAAAAGAAAGGGGCTAATTACGCTCATTGCCCAACTTGTGTTCATTGAGTATGCCACTGTATCCTTGGTGTGCGACATCTGCAATCCAGATGCTGCGAATAGATATTCCTGCAGACTTCATACGACCATGTATTTCGGCCCAAAGCGGCTCGTAGAGCTCCTGGGTGAACTTTAGGTACAGTTCAGGTACGCCAAGGGACACGGAATACCTTAGGAAACGCCTGGGCATGAGTTCCGATAATGGTGACATCGCCAATCCGAGCGTCTTGGTTGTCATGCGGGATGTATTGCTTTACACTTAGATGATGCACCTCTTCTTGCGTGTGAGCTGTAGTGCGAGGATAGCCCCGAATATGCTGGCAGGGGATTACATGCTCTTTGACTTTAAACGGAAATGAGGACATGGTAATGCTGTTAGTAACAATGGATAATGCAGTGGAAAGGCAGCTCAGAGTAAATGTCAACTTCGTGCCTGAGATCTTTGACGAAGGTAGTTTGGTGTAGCTTGTGGTATATAAGTTTAGCTGCCGTTTATTCCGGCAATAATTTGACCGAGACAAAATTCTTCGGGACGTCGGGGTTGGGCAATGTAAAGCGCTAAGCAATATATTGATGCCTTATCAGTGATAAGAAACAACTAGGTTGTATTCGCGGTAGACAATGAGGTGATAAGACCATGGTCTAGTCAGCTAAGGCAGGTTCCGACTTCAATGACTCCAAATCGTAATACAGTGTAGTCAATTGAGTTATTTACTAATGGCTGCTTTTAACTTATGCGAGGCTGTTCCCAAGTAGATTACTACATCAAGTGCCACCGTTCATGACTAATGTTAACTCATGTTTCATTGCAGCTTTAGCTACGTAGTAAGATTAGTCGTGTTATAGTGTAGTCATGTATTTTCGCTCAGATACATTTCTGTTTCACATAGAAGCCTAAATTGCAAGACTGAGTCGGCAGAATCGACTCTCATTAGCTCTAAGAAGCTCTACTGTCATACGACTAATGGACGCTAAGATGCTCTGTTTCGGGGTTGGCTGTGCAAAACTCCATCATATGACGAACGCCAGAACGGCCAGTTTGAACAGAACGACAGTTAATGTGGCATCCCCTTTTCAGCACGGTTATGGGCTGTAGGAACGTTTATTCCATACAATCTAAGTCTAGTGCAATATGTATGACTGAAGCTGAGACCTTGAATGCAAAAGCCTTATACGCATGCAGGAAATACCGTGAGTGGCAACTACTTCGTTAATATATTATGAACTCGTTGGCTTATTTCACTCGGCGATCGGGTATCAGATACAAAAAGCAACGACACAATTGCTGTAATCAAGCGTGGCTGATGTCGAAATCGTGGTCGCTGGTGTCCCTGCATTATCAAAGCAGTCAGAAGGGACCAGAGGTGAGGCAGCTATTCCACACATCAGTACGTGTTTGATTTCCGCTTGGCAGCAAGCTTACTTCTTCCTGGAACTGCTGAGAGACGGTCCCCCATCCGCCGCCCGAGTCAGTTGATGATAAACTGAAGAGAATTTTATCCACGCAAACAGCCTGCTGTGACCGCATCTCCCTAAGCAATAGACTCTCAGCTGACTTGAGGACTTCATCCTGATAGGGCTGGACTTCTCGGGTCTTCCATGAATCACTTTTGCTGCGTAGCTCTTCCAAGAGAGTTGGGAGGCATCTTTTTCTGCTAATGTACTGCGCGATTGAGCATTCAGAATCTTCATCGAACTTGGCTGTGTAGAACGTGGTAACAGCTGAGTCGAGGTCCTGGAAGCCCGCTCTACGGGCGCAGTGAATTAGGTACTCAACTCGCCCTTCTATCGTTTGCTCAAACGTTATGTCGCCGTCACTCAATAGCGCCTTATCGCTGATTGAACCAGATGAGTTGCTTCCGCGCTCATTTTCACACCAGTGATCCTCAATCTCTCGACTCTGGTTATGCTTACTAGGGTATTGAAATTGGTCAATCGACGAGCGAATATGTGCATCATCAAGCATTCCAATATCGAGGTCGGTGAATCGGGTAGGAGATTCTGAACGCGAAGGTTGCCCTTGAGTCTCGCCTCTTGACTGAGAGTCCTTTCCAACTATTCGTCTGAGCATAAGCAGGAGAAACAGTGCAATGTACGTACCTCGCATTGAAATTGGAACTCTGTCAACCATTTGATTGTCCAAATCACCATAGAGATTTTCCTTGTGTTCATTTGCATCTTCCTGCGAATGACAGTACCATAGTGTATCAAGGAGTTTATCTGTTCTGGAAGAGTCTTCTAGAGTGCTGAAAAGCTGGCTGGTGGGAGTAGGCAGCTGTACGTTCGCATCCTGGGCAACCAAAGTCAGTAGTGAAGGAGTGAGTGACACGTGCAGGTGCAGGATACCTTCTGTTTTTCACGCGCCGCTGTATTAAGACTCTCATCCACGCGTGGTGGGACTTCGCTGGCTACAACTGATGAAGCGCCTTGATTCGAAACTTTTGTTGTTCTGCTTTCGTGTGCCAACAATTGGGCCTGCATTGCCACCTGCTGCTCCAACTCCTCGATCCTCCGCTTTACATTTCGACCTGGAAACTGATTAGCTTAACGCGGGCTGTGGTGCTATGGCACGCACGGTAATTTCGCTGCGCTAAGCGGTTCTGGGCTTTCTTCTTCTCAATCATGTCATTCATGTTCTTCCAGTCATCTTGTGACCGGACGCCATCGGGTCCTAGCCTGGACCCCATTTGGTGGTTCATCTTCAATTCGCACGGTCTGTCGTTAGGAGGACAAAAATTTCAATATCCTCGATAGAAAATATTCTATAGAAACATGTTAACACTGTATGAATTGCATTTCTATTCAACGATGGGATTCGCGCTTCCTATCTGGCAGCTGCCAAGCAGCCTCGGTGTGACTGCGGAACGGATCGCTCCGACTAGAGTCACGTCATGTGCCGCACAAATGATCACATTCAAGGAATACCAACCAACTCTCGTAGAGCTTAACAGGGCCCCCCTTTCTTCATACGCGCTATTGTGTCGTGCTAGATGCGTCTGCCGACCGGAGTCGTGGCCGACACTCAATTCATGCCCAGCGATCATGGCGCAAAGCCAGATCGAGCCGCAAGTAAATGCTGGCAGCGGCAGGAAGCTAATGCACAAGATAAGAGGGATACTGCCGTATTTGATTCGCATGAAATAATTTTTTTTTGATGACACGTTGCGCACGCAATTCTAAGTTGCTATCACAGACTGACGCTCTCTCACTTGAGAGATGTAGCTGAGCCTATGTTACGATGCTGATTTCTCTACCCCGAGATGGTTGTGTGTCAGGGCTGGGGCTGAAGCGATACAAACCCATGAACTTACCGTGGACCCCTTCACTCCTCATCAGTCTTGTATTTAAGACTGAGTGAATGTATTTTTGCATAAAATTAAGAAAAAAGACGTGTTATGTGTGTTGGATAGTCTACTCAAGCCTTCCAATTCAGTACTCACTAGGAGGGAAGCAGCAATATCTTATCTGGCAAGCAAACATATTCACCCCTGGGCACTGTGGACACCTACATCTCAAGCACACCTTCTGTAGCCCATAAAGAAGCAGAAAATACGAGCAACGATAACAAGATCGGCACATACGTCGAGAATCAAGGCCTGTCATGCCGACGTAATACCAAGTGGAGCAGCTACGACGATTGAGCATCCAAACTAAACACTACTGTCCGTGGTAGTCATGTTGAGTCATACTTAACCGTTCCGTGGGGGTACTCTCCCGATTCTCCTGTTTAGGTTGCCACCACCTGGGGAACAAAAGGGGAGTTCACGACAAGATTTGGATGAAGTCATCGCAAAATCATTGCCACATGTCATGGAAGAATTCACCAAAAAGACTTTTACGACATCTAGGTCGTTGACATACGCCTTTTATGATTCTATCCGTGTAACAGAACGCTCGGATTTCAGCCACACTCTCCTCTTACTCCATGGCTATCCTGACTCGGCGCAAATTTGGTCAGAGGTTGCACCAAAATTACTCTCCTCTGCCTACCGTATCGTCATCCCGGACCTTCTTGGTTACGGCGATACCGATAAGCCGACAGACCCTGCAGCATACGACTCAAAGTCCATGGCCATCGATCTCGCAGAGTTACTAGCCTCGGAAGGCATCGCACACGCCATTGCAATCGGTCACGACTGGGGCTCTTTCATGGCTCAGCGGCTGTACTTCTGGGCTCCTGAGCGCGTCGCCGGTCTCGCCATGCTGAACGTTGCATACATGACACCCTTTGAGCGCAACTTCGACCTTGATCGGCTCAACGCAGCCGCAGAGCGCGCCACAGGTCTTGCGCGTTGGAGCTACTGGGGCTTCTATGCCTCCGATGTTGCATCCGCCATCTGCTGTGCTCACGCAGAGAGCTTGTGGTGCGCAATTCACTCGGTGCACGAAGACCTCCGTCGCAACCTTTACTCCTCCAAAGGTGCCCTACAGAGCTTCCTTGAAGAAAATAAGAAAAGTCTGGCCCGTACTTATGAAGGAGTGAAAAGAGATTTGAAGAGTGAATGGCTGACACGGATGGAGAGGAATGGCTTTGAGGGCCCGCTATGTTGGTATAAGGCTATAGTGCGTGGTATCACACCCGCCACCGAGACTGAGCTCGGACATGACCGACTGGTGGTGAACGTCCCGGCTCTGTTCATTGGCGCGAGCAAGGACCAGATCTGTTTGCTTGGCGCCATTAGAGCTCCTTGGGCGGAAGGTTTTTTACCAGATTTGCAGATTAAACAAGTGGATAGTTTTCATAGACCAATGCTTGAAAAGCCTGAAGAGCTAGCTTGGTCTATACAACATTGGTTGATCGAGAGATTCCAGTAAATCATGTGGCGGTCGGATGCACACTGAACCTGACTGGTTAGTGAGAACTCAAGCAGAACATCCCACTTAAAACCTATCATTATCATGCGTCAGCCCATCATAGGTACTATGTTTCCAGATAATCATCAGTGTTGTATCAAGTTGTCTACCAATTTGCATAATTGATGGATTAAGTGAGACTTTTCCGTCCGAGACTCATGGCACGTAAGCAAAGACACATACATTCGTAGGGGTAAGCTATGTCATCTTTATAATATCAATTAGATAATGCAATGCCTCGTAAGTTAGTCTTAAAGATAAATTACTTTAGTAGAATAAAGAGAAGGACTACCAGTGATAATGAAAGTTAGTTTTAGTATCATCTTTCTTTAAGAACAAGATAATAGTAAAGTAATTTGAATTTTGAATTAGATTTCTTTTACTAAAAGAGCTAAGTTTAGTAAATAGATAGTTTCTAAAAACTATAAACTAAATTATAGATATTTCTACACACTATAATATATAAAGGGCTACGCTTGGGAAGCATAACCTATAGGTTATATGATAGTAAGTTATATAACTTTAAGTTACAGAACTAAGTTATAAGTTATTAGTTATACATAAATAAGCTTAAGTAAAAAGAAAAATAAAAAAGCTGAAGTATTTATAAAAAAATAACTGTAAAAAAAAATCTTTTGAATGACGTTCTTTTTATGTTTCTTTCTCTATATATTGAGTAAATAAAAACCTAATATAAAGTTTTTTTTACTTATAATATAAACAGAAAATTACTAACTGTTAATTTCTTTTATATAATAGAAAAGATATTAAAGTGATGAAGAATGAAAGAAAATAAACTTATAAGAGATATGTTACACGGGGTTGGGTGCTGATACTTCTCTAAGCTCGATCCGGGTTAGGGCGAGTGAGATGGTGTGAAGAGCGCCGTGAGGTGGTTGTCTAGCGATGCAGTGGAGTGGGCGTGCTTGTAAGATAGATAACAAAAGGTTTGACAATTCCTAATCTATATTGAATAGATTAACGAGTATTAATCTTGTGAAGTTGAGTAACTAGTAAGAAAGTACAATTTGAGTTGACCACAACGAGAGTAATAATGAAATCCATCCATCCTTATATCCTCATTGCTTCCAGTCCTGCCATCAGAACTTCGACCTGCCATCACTGATGGTTGTCTCCACTTCTGATAGCTGCCATCACATGCGGGTCCTGCCATCACTAATGGCACCGTCTTAGCGTGATGGCACATCACGTGACTTGACCCCGCCACATCCATCATTTCCCGCTGGTATCCCAAGTGGCTTCCTAACCACTATACCATCAGCACAGGGAAGGAGATCCT